CCGAAGAAGAAATTTTTCATGAGAATCAACGTATCCAACTTTCCTCCTTTGCACAAATGCCGAGGGATGAATCCAGTAAGGTGATTGAAAGAAACATCGAGCTTCTGCAGCTTCCCGTTGCTGCCCAGATTCTGCGGCAGTTCGAACGTGAAGTTGTTTTCCCAGACCTGAAGAACCTCGAGGTAAGGCAAATCACCGATGAACGAAGGGATTCGGCCGTGAAAGTTGTTCTTGAAGAGATTGATTAGCGTAATGTTCTGCAGCGCGAAGAAACTCGCTGGTATCTCTCCGGTTAGCTCGTTTATAGAAACGTCAAGAAATTTCAAGCTAATCAAACTGGAGAGTTCCGGAGGAAGTAGACCGGTGAGATGATTCATTTGAAGGTACAATGTATCCAAGTGCTTCAAATTGCCCAAACTAACCGGAATCTCGCCTGTGAGATTGCAGCTTCCCATATCTAGAACCCGCAGTTTACTCAACGTACCAAACTCCGGTGGAACTCCTCCGACGTAAGAGTTAAAATATCCAACGTACATCTCTTCAAGATTCTTCAAGCGAGCCAAAAACGCAGGCGATTTTCCAGTGAGACCGATGCCGTTCAGACCCAAGTACACCAAGCTCTGAATCTCAGTGTACCTCTCCGGTATTTGACCGGTGAAATAGTTGCCTCCAAAAGAGAGATGCCGGAGATTCTTCAGGTCCACGATCTCAATCGGCAGCGGCCCTGTGAAGTTGTTGTTGTAAGTATCAAGAACCTCCAACTGACTCATGCCCCGAAAAATTTCCCCAGGGAAATTCCCATTGAAAGCATTGTTGGAGATGTTGAAAAGCCTCAGAGATGCCAAATTCCCCACCTCCACCGGAATCATCCCGGTGAGATTATCAGCCGCAATTGTCAGGTTCACAAGCTTATCCAAAAGCCCAATCTCCCGAGCAATCACGCCAAACAGAGGAACAAACGACACATTCAGAGAAATAACCCGGTACTCCTCATCACATCTAACACCAGAGAAATCACAATGCGCCGAAGGAGACTCCGAATCCTTCCAATCCTCCAGTCCGGATCCTTTCTGTCCAGTCATGGAACTCTTGAGCTTCAACAGGACCTCCAAATCACTGTATCCATTGCAGGAACAGAACAGTAGAAGAATAAAAAAAGAGCAGGGAAGAAGAAGGCCGGAAAATCTTTTCATCGTACAAAACAGGGGCATTTTAAGAAGAGAAAAAGGAACAAGAATCAGAGTACTGAGAGTTGCGTTAGTCTATGCAGTTCAATCAATGTAATGCCTCGAGCTTTATTTAGTAGAGTTGGACAGTGTCTTGGTATCTTCAAACTTCGAATAAACCGATATTCTATCATAAAAAGACAATCATTAGGTTGTTAAGAGTGAAGACAATTTCTCTAATGGTTTTTTTTTTTTTTTTCAGTCTTCCTATGGAAGATTTTCTCATTTTTTTAAAGAGTGCGTGTGGTCGGAAAAGAGAACCACAATAGCAATGGCACCAAAAATTCCGACGCGCTTTTGGTTTTGGTAACTTTCTATCCTTCTTCATCCTCCTCCTGGTCGGAGTACTTGCTTTCTCATTCCTCGCTTTCATCATTACACACAAAAATGCTCTAGATCCAATATGTGAAGTCCTGCTCAAAATTTTTGTATGTCGTCTAGCTATTTAAGTATGTACAATAAGAACAATGAAAAATTTTAGTTTGATATTACATTATTATAATTAATATTATTTTATATAAATTTATATTTTTTTATATTTAACTTTTAAATAAAATAATTAATAAAATACACTCCTTTTAATGTTAGTTATAAATAATTTTTTTTTTAAATTATACTATTATTATTTTTTATCAATATAAAACTATTATATATTCTACTAACCGTTTTATATGTCTAAAGAAAACATTTGATTTTATTTTTTTGGATTTTTTTTAACCTGCACTCTTAAATTA